AAAGTGTGAAGGTGAGAATGTATACTGGACTTGAACTGCTCTCTCAAGCTCTGTTGTTTTTTATTCTTCACACAACACTTCAGACATGGTCGGACAACATGCATACGAGTTTGTTTCAGGCATATTCTTTAGCCTTAAAAGGTTGTTAAGGTGGATGGGAGAGTCTGCCATTAATGCGGAAGACTTGAGTTTGTGTTTTTTATTAACTATATCCCTCCTTCCCTAACCTTAACCAGGTGTTGTCTAAACCTAACCATACCTTAGCCACAGTTCATTTGTCAAGCCGGACAAATTTCTGTTTACTGCAGAACTGCTGTACTGTGTTGGTGGATGTTTCTGGTTCGGTCCCATTGTGAAAATGAGTCCTCATGTCCTCATGTTTCCATGGTAAAACATCAGCAGACAAATTGTTCCACTTCATGTCAAAACAGCAACAGCAGCAACCAGAGGACAGAGGTGGAAGTGTTGTTTTGAAGAAATGGAAAAAAGTAAGGGAGAAAAGGGCTGATGGAAATGTTCTGCTGAAATAAAGTGTCTCTTTCTTCTGCAATATTATGACTTTAAAGGGGACCTATTATGTTAATTTCCAGCTCTTCTCACCCCTGTTTCTTTAGTTTTGTAGACATTATGTAGCCTATTTTACAACATAAGACAGGTTCGGGTTTTCCGTTTTGTCCAGAAACCCTCTGAACATTGTTAAATCTCATCAAATATACATCACAGGAGGGGGAAAGGGGCTGCTAAAGGAAGTGACACAGCCCACTCTTCCATTGGCAATTACCCTGGAGTGAGGTCAGAGGTTAGCCTCCCTTGCACATGCTGAGTCACTGGGACGGCAGAGTGAGGACGTGGAAGAAATTGCTGGTTACTCAACACAGACACATGGGAGTGCTTAAATGAGTCAATACTAATGTAAAGACTGTTTCAGCTTTCATTCTTCAGTGGCAGCACCTGAGTGCAATGCTGCTGAGTGTGAGATTATTATATGCCATCTTGGATTTTACGTGGGTTGAACTGTTCGCTAGTCGAATCAGAACTTAGCAACCGTAACTAGGCAAGGCCTACTGTTACGCAGTAAGTACAGTAATCTGCATCTAAAGCGTTCAGAGGTTTTGGTCATTTTTAAATCGCCTTTCCAAAACTAAAAACACAAGCAAAAATGTAAGGACGGTCAGAAAAATCAGTATTTGCTGGCTAAAAATGAGATGCCTACTTTATGACGTTCAGGACAAGTGAATACTGGCTTACATTTGTTAGATGCCATATTAACCTGTATTTGCTGGATATAAGTAAGTGGATAAGTGAGTGAGCAATGTTTTGCTAATGTAACTCAGCAACCATAAAAATGGGAAATTGCTGTTTCAAAGACAAATTTTCTCATAAGAGGCATTCTGTGGTACTGGTTTCAGCCACTGCAGGCTCACCCAACCACTGTCCAGGGGCAGATAAAATGTCCTGAACATCCAGAAATAATACAACAGCAGTCATACAGGCACAAGGCAGGGTCTCTGCAGACACAGATGCCGACGGAGTGACCAGCCATAAGTAATAACTTTGTAGGAAAAGTAATTATATGGTATTTTAAGGAGGAAAATCCTGCTCAGTGCCTTGAAAGACTCAATGTTTTTATATAAAGAACAGTTAAATTCTTCTCCTTTCATTACTTAAAATGTTCACGTGAGCCAGACATGTTTTTATGTGTTTAGCAGCTGTTTTAGTTATAAGAAACCAGGGCTAGTCTAGTATATCGTCGTCTTCAACTGAAGAATTTGTTTATTAATGGCTAAAAATGTGCAAAATACAATTCTATTGCATGCTTTTCAGATTATTTTTCAGTAACTGACGTCATTTAGGGTCCTCTACCATATAGCTGTTCATGGGGGTATAAACACAGCCATGTTTACTATAAACTATAGTTTAAGCGAAACCAGGAGTTAAAAGACAACACCTTTACATAGTTAAAGCCAAATAAATACATCTAAATTAGAGTAGTACAATGTTATATATTTTGTTTAATATTATATAGGCATGGGCACATAACTTTGTGAGGGTTGAAGGTTTGATTCCTACATGGATACTAAAGATAGACCCATGTGGCATTCATTGTGATATCATGTATAATGGGTTCTCCTTGACTCATCTATAGACTCAATCTCCCACAATCCTCCCACAGTGATGAGCCAGCATTTCTCAAAGTCTTACTTTCTCTTTCTCCTCTTTGTTACATTGAATCTGTAACACTGCAAGTCAGGAATGAAAATAATATAAGACATTTTCATTTCATTTTTATTACCCCCCTGGTGGTTTTATAACGGTCAAAAAGGGTCAGTGGTTTTCCCAGTGTCTATGTTTGGCTATTTTTCTTAAGTGACTTTCAATAACTAAGTACCATGTACTGAATATATTTAGCAATGCTAGCGGCGTGGCTCTGTGGATGGCAATTTTGGCATTTCCTCCAGTCAGTTGACCTTGTAGGTCTAGACTAAAATCTCTCAGTTGAGCAGTTAAGCTTAATTGTTATGAAATCTTGTACAAACATTCATGGTCCTTAGAGAATTAATCCTACTGACTATGGTGATCCCCTGACTTAGCATCTAGCTCCACCTTTATCTGTACAATACTTTGCTTTATGACCAAACACCTTTTAAAACGAGCGACATTCAGCCACAGCAGTACTTTGTGTTTTTACTAATTAGTAAATGTTAGCATGAGAACTTTAGCATTGTCATTGTCATTATGTTAGCATATTGAAGTTAGCATTTAGCTCTTGAATACACCCTAAAAAACATAACCTATCATAGCATTAACACTAAAATAGAATGGTTGTTGATTCTTCGTCTTGTTCATGTGTGAGTCATTTGATTGAGCTGCAGAATTTACATGAGGGCCTTACTACACACTGTATCATTTACAGTGATAAGGCAGGGTGGCTTTCAGCTGGATGGTCTTTTACCAGAAATGGGCACATACAGTCTGCAGTGCTGCAGTAATGCTGCATAACTGTCATATCCTGTTCATAAGCAATTTATAGTATATGTTATTAACCAGGCAGAAGTACAGTGGCATCCGGTGCAATAATCTATTCCCCATTTGTGTCACTGCCAGTATGACTACAGATAATATGCATAGGCTATACATTGCATCATGTCCAAGTTTGTACTTGCCTGTGTGTCTATTGTTAAACAAGAGTTTTTGTGCGTGTGTGTTGTGAAAAGCGTGGGAACTGCAGGGGAGGATGTGTGAATTTACAAAGTTTCCTCCGGAGAGGAGACTGCACTGGATGGGGCAGGAATTAGTTTGTGTCACAATACCCCAACAGGCAGGCCGGTTCATACTGTGAATATACAGAGTAGTGGTAAAATCCAGGATTCATACTTGTTGGTATTACGGGTGATTTTGTGTTTGTTGCCTCTCTGCAGAGCTAAAAAACTTTATCAGACTCTATCAGAGTGAGTGGCTCTAAGGTTACATTTGACTGTACAAGGGCCTTGACTATCACAGGAGACAGACAACATCATGACACGTTCTCGGGATGATACAGTAATGTTGTTTTCACATTATCTATCTCATTACTGCTGTGTCAAAATAAATTTAATAACATTGGTCAGGGTGAGGGGGACAGATGTTTTAAAGTGCTCTGATTTACAAATTACTAGACAAAAAAATGAAATAAAATTAAACAGTTTCCAGACATATTCATGATACATAGGTCACCACATCTGAAGCGTGTGGCCCACAGATGTTTAAACCTACACTTTCACCATCAGAATAACTTCCAGTTTTGATTTCACGTCTCTACTGACCTAGCTTTACTTTTGCCGTGCCATGTTGTTCAGACTGCTGCTGTACTGTGGCTCCACTCACAAAAGGAACAGTTATTTAAAATTTGCGCTTACAGGATTTCAACACAAGCAATTTAGAGGCAAAGTATGTCCATCTCAAATATAGAAACAACCTCTTAAATCATAGAACTTTTCCTCAAAGCTCAGATGGGTGCTCTTAAAGGGATAGTTAAACATTTTGGGAAATATGCTTGTTTTTCTTGTTTTTCTTGGCAAAGAACAGCTGGGTTAAGTGTGCAGCATCCCGATGTTATGTTGTTACAAAGGCCCAAACTAAAACTGAAACTGTGCTAATCTACCAACGTGCACTAGCCAGAGATGCTGCTCCGAAGACAATTGTGTATTTGTCAAGAAATAATTCCAGCACATACAGTAATTCCCCCTAAGAACACCACTAGTCGTTTTTACATTTGTGTTTATGCACAGATAGTCAGATTAGCTGCTTCTCACATTTATGCTAAGCTAGTGTAGGAGAGTACAGCATAATAATAAATGCTAAAATGTTGTGAGTAGCAGTCTTGCTAGTAGAGAAGATTATAAAGTCAGTCATGACTCAGTTATACAGCAGTATCTCTGTAACGTTAGGTAACATTAGCCTACTGAATTGAGCAGAGTGTGTTTCTATTGGTTACGAGGCCAATGCTTAATTTGCTCAATGTGTTATTTCAAAGTGACAAAAAAGCTCATGTATAGCCTGATTTCTCCTGATGTTCTAGTATGGATGTAAAGCAGAGTGATCAGTGACCCTTCCCTGAATGGACAAAAGTTGAGAAACCATGCCTCTGGGAATTCTGGGAAAAGGGAAAAGCTGCTTTATTTTTGAATTTAGCAGCAGATTACACTGTTTCTCATGACACACAGTGAGGTCAGTTCACGGGTCGACTTCTCAGGCTTTCTCTAGAGGAACACACACACACACACACACACACACACACACACACACACACACACACACACACACACACACACACACACACACACAAAATATACAGACATACAGTCATCCCATATGTGTGGAAAGGGGAAAATAGCAGAGCAGTTTGAAAGAGGAGGAAATACTGCTGCTTAAGTGGGAGATTCTTGTGTGTGTGTGTGTGTGTGTGTGTGCTTGCTTCAGAAAGTTGGCCACTCATTAGTAGAGAGAGCTTTTAGAGGAAGTGGTGGTTACCTATGACTCAGCCAAACCATGCATTTCATTCTTTCTCTCTCCAGTCTCTCTCTGCACTCTCCTCTCTCTGTCATCTGCTTTTATTTCTACATTCTATTCATTCCTCTTTTCTGTTCTCACTCTTCATTTTCTGTCTTGTCTCTCTCTGAATCTCTGAATCTCTGTCTCCCCTCTTCTTTTCTCTCTTCTCCTGATTCCTCCTGACCTTTGGGAGGTATCTCTCTCTCTGTGTGTGTGTGTGTGTGTGTGTGTGTGTGTGTGTGTGTGTGTGTGTGTGTGTGTGTGTGTGTGTGTCTTTGTGTGTGTGTCTTTGTGTGTGTGTGTGTGTGTCTTTGTGTGTGTGTGTGTGTGTGTGTGTGTGTGTGTGTGTGTGTGTGTGTCTTTGTGAGAAGGAGTGTGTGGGATGATAACTGGCTTCCTTCAGAGTGATTAAAACATTCCTTCTCTTTTCTTCTTCCTCTCTCTTTCTCTGCCCTTCTTAGTTGTTAGTGAAGACTTTCTGATGAAGAGGAGGATGAAGACTGGTGAAACTGGTGAGTAAAAGCAAGCTGGACAAAGTTTTTCTTTTTTAAAACTGGCTGGTATTGATCAAGTTAAGAAGGAATGCAGATCCAGGAAACTCTTCTTTCAGATTTGAATGTATGGGCTGCTCTGTCATTAGATCACTATTTCTGCTTTAATGGTTCAGTAAAACAAAATATACAGATTTTAGGTTGTGTTGCAAGACTTAAGAAAACAGAGGGCTGAAGAGCAGCAGCCATTCAAGAGCTAGACGGAAAATATTACAAACGTTTTCCAAACTTTGATGGATTTGACTTTTTGTGGCGCTGAGTGGTTAAATGTTGTTTCTTTAGATCATTTTTATTTCTCTTAAGACTTAAAATGCAGTTTATGAATCCCCTTTTTTGTAAATAGATCATAGTTCATGATTTTCCTTGATCAATAAATAACACTGCATACAAAAGCGGTTTCCAGTGATGCAGCGATGGTTTAAAAAAAGAAGTGTAATATAAAATCTCACAGTGGATAATCAGCGATAGCGAATAGCACCGTGAGGACAGTTGTGTTCAGTTTGTTGGCAGTTTGCGGTGAAAATCGGCTATATTTGGTACTTGGCACGTAGCCCGTTTCTTCAAATTTAGTCATGTAGTCATGGTGTGACGCACTGACCGCACCTGTGAAGGGCTAAAGTGAAAGTGGCTGTGTTATAATATCCTGGTGATATTACAGCAGCTGTCTTAGGATGGAAAGTGATCAGAGCTCCAACTCAGGAGCTCTATAATCACCTTGATCCATCTGTGTACAGGAATGAGTCTTTTACTGACGTTTGTGAGAGTTTCACAAGCTCTACTGACGCACATTATCAAGATTATACGAGCAGTATGGTATATCAGTGTACACATGAGAGATCGAAAACACATGTACTGTACTCCAGATTCAACATTTTGTCTTTGTTGAGTGGGCTAGCTGTAAGTGACGACACTGGCAACGCTGACAACAACGGTGTTGTTCTGTAATAATGTGTTGGTAATGCCGCCATATATAGAAATAATTATTTTTTTGTAAATTATCTCTTGGAAGATACATTATTTGTTTTCCTCAATGGCAAATAGCTTTGTAGATTCTGTAATTCTTGCAGTGTCAAAACATAGACACCACATATCAGGTGTATCTATTTATCTAGCCAGCCTCAGTGTATCTGACAATCAGCTCTGCTTCACATTGGCCCACTCTGGCTGCCATATTTAGTGTGCAATTGTTGCAAACATCTAATTGTGTGCTATCTGAACATGTCACTCTGCTGTGTTTGCGGGCAACACTCATGATAAAGATCTATGTGGTAATCTGTTTGACTTTGTTTTTCTGATTCTTAGCTAGCTAGTACTGTCATGAAACCATCACTTCCTAAGTGTATTAGGGGAATTCAGTTAGCAATGCGCCATTTGTTTTAATGTAAAAGTTATAAAAAATGTTTTCTGATTATTTTTATTACCTTTAAATGTAACTTTTAATTCTGACAACAGAGAAGAACAGTAGAAGCAGAAAGAGTTGCAACTCACAACAATAGCTGCTTTGCTAACTTAGCCTACTGACTGCTTAGCAAGCTAAACATTAGTGTTAAAGTTTGTTCAGACAGAACAATGTTTGCCTTGAATTATTCGTTCAAATTTCACAGCTGGACCGTGTGCAGTCTGTATTTATTCGCTGCTAGCTGTAAGCTAGCTAGTGCTCAGCACTTGACTGTTGTCAGAAGTCACCAGGAAATCCAGTTCTCTGTATTTGCCTCCAGTCTCTTATATCTCTGTACATATACGAAATAGATTCATAAAGCCCTGGGATTCACATGAAAAATAGCTCAAATTTAATGTAACTTTGCACCGCCCCAGGTGAAATTGTGTCTACTTAGCATCTTTCCATTGACGTATGCAAAGGTATTCCATGTATAAAAAACATCAATCTCATACAAAGGGAAGATGAACCAGATTTAGCTAATAGTTAAAGGATAGATCTGCACCACCATTTGAGTCAACATTAATATATTTAGAATCTTATTATTATTATTATTATTGGGTCACTTGACCAAAAGTCTTTGAACAGAAAGTAAGTAGTTGAGGCCTGAATAAACCCCAAACAGACATGAACAGCAGTGCACAGTGGATACTTTATACAACACTGAATTGTCTTTATACATAGATGCGTTCAAGACAGGGCTGTCCTGACACATGTCCAGAACCTTGGGGACATGCAGATGACAAATTGTCGATCAGATCCCTGTGGCTACGCTGATGTGGAAAGTATAATTTGGGCTCCCAGCTGCACAGCTGAAAAAGTAACAGACGTGTCATTCTTGTCTGCACCATTTCTTCAGCATAGATAGCACAGAATTGGTCATTCAGTCGGGAATAAAAAACAAGGTCAGAGACTAAGGAGGGTCAGTGGTTGCGGTCAGCCTATTGATGCCTTACATATGCGTCCTTTTTAAGGCTTACATTTGAGGAAAACATTACAGACCATTCCCTTTTTTAATTCCAACCCCTGCATTAATTTCTGTGCAAAAACAATTGACATAATTTGATGTCTCAGTGGTGGTTCCAGCCTGTTTTGTATACAAATGTGTGCGGGTTTGTTAAGAACTGGACTTTTGAGAGCTGTCAGTCCTCAAACTCTGAACCCATTTGAAGTATTAATTTAGTTACACCTGTCAATCTCATTTGACTTGTTTTCTATCAGATACCTTGTGTATTGGACTGTCATGATACATTTTAACCTTGACTCTCATAAATGCGAGTCTTAATCAGTATCATCAAACTGTGGCCTCGAGGGTTGGTCAGAAGAGTTGGTCAGCATAATACTCTGTTTTATTATCTGTAATATCTCTTTCACTCTCTTTTTCACTCTCTGCTGTTTTTCTTACCCCTTTCATTCTATACACTCTTCTTAATGATCTATAATTGGTATCAGTTTCCGTATATTGTCAGAAGAAGCTTCACAAACACACACACACACTCACACACACACACACACACTCACACCAACCTATGCCAGCCCTGTTCCGTCAAGGCTCCCCCCGTTTACGGTAAATGTGTGTTTTTTATCATCTGTGGGCCTGGATTAAGTGATGCAGTTAGTTTTGGTATCATGTCCGTAGCCATGCATCTCCACCACTGAGAGAGACCGAGAGCAGTGCAGCGTGGGTAGGTGTGGGAGGGCTGTGACAGAGATGACTCAGCGCTCTGTTGCCGGGTAGAGAACACTAAACACTCCCACCCCCATACATTTAAAAAATACAGTATCTGATAGCTGTCATTCATACTCTGCCTTGGGTAAACGCTTATTTAAACTGTACATTGATAATATTTGCGCTATTCGTGGGGTTGGGTTGGGTTAACCTTGGGTTAAGCCCCTAACCTAACCCAACTATTCTAGCCCTGTCTCCCAGAAATTGTTTATATAACTAAATTGCAACTACAAATACATTTTGACAGAAATGTAATGATGACCAGATTACAATTTTTACCAACATAATGAGGAAATGTTGTGAAATTACATGTCTGACAAGCTGTTAATGCGGACCGTGTCAGTAAAATGTTCATTGACTACGTACTTCTTTTGTTTTCCACCAAAATATCTTATATCTCAATACAATGTCTACTCGTAGTGACAACTGCATTATTGATCCTGTTTAAGGTTAGGGAAACATTGTTGCCTGGTTCAATCCAGAAAAGGTCGGCACTGACTGGAGACACGTGTTTAACATTTAACAAAAACCACAATCTTTCCCTAACGCTTAACAAGTGCTCTTGTTGCCTAAACCTAACCACAAACAGGAGTCTGGCGGTACATTCATTACCTTTGCCAAGGAGGTTAGGATTTCAGTTTGTTTGTTTGTTTGCCTGTCAGCAGTAGAAAAATGACTAGCCCGATTTTCAAGAGGAGGAAGGTAGCAGCATGGGCCAAGGAAGAAGCCATTACATTGTGGAGCAGATTCAAATCTATTTTTGATGGATACACAAATAATTTTTCCTTTGATTAACATTGCGATTATAGGTCAATTGTAACGTGTTATTTCATTCACTCAAAAAATGTTACCTCTGAACATAATCCAGCCGGAGGTTACGTTGGACAGCACAGCCTAACTGGGATAACCATTTGGTTATATATAAACATAATTTTAATAGACAGGGTAGCTTCCCTCTGAGCACTCCTTTAGAGATAGTTTAAATTTGAGCTGATTAAAGGACCAGTGTGTAGGATTTAGTGGTTTGTCCCTTCTGGGCTACTGTAGAAAGATGGCGGTTCAACATGGTGAACTCCATGGAAGACGACCTGCTCTCTCTGTAGATATAAAAGGCTCATTCTAAGGTAACAAAAATGTAACAATTGTTATTTATTATATTATACTAATGAAAACATACCTATGAATATTATCTTCCATTGCTGCCAGTAGATCCTCGTAAATGTTACACACTGGATCTAGCTTGTGAAGTTTACTGTAAAACCTGGTTCATTTTATATTCAACAGTTCTCCCCTACAAGCGTTATGTTATCCACAAACACCTGACAAATTTGCAAAGCCTCCTCTTTGAATGTTGTGAACCCTGAGTTTATGGTACTTTTAAAACCTTAAATTACAGTATCTTCACAACTGCTGCAGTTGGTGCAAATGTCCGTCATGTCAACCCCGTGCTCGAACCATTTATGCGTACTTTACACATGGAATTCGGTGCACCATCATCCAAACATCGCTTTATGGCGTCAGTCTTGGTTTAAGTTTAATGGTGTCAACATGTCTGTTGTTGTCATGAGTCCATTCGAAACATTATTCACCGTTTAATTACTTTGTACATGTAGATGTAGATAAGTGAAATATTCTGATAGCTTTAAGTTGTGACTCAACATTTTTTTCAAATGTTGTCAGTTGCCTTCTTTAAGTGTTCTTAATCATTTGAATGTAGCTTATTGTTTGTTGTCTTCCCAAAATGTTTATTTCAGTAATTAAAATAATTGGGATGAAACTGGTGTAAGGGGACTT